TAGAAAGTTCAAAAATCACTGATATTATGTAAGTAAGTTAGGTTTTCAAAGAAAATTAGAATATTCTCAATTGCATAAGTATTCAACCCCTTTGCTACAGCAACCCTAAATCAGTTCAGGTGCAAAAGATTACTTTGAAAGGTCACAAAATTAGTGTGATGACCCCTGTCTGTATGTAATCAAAGTGGTTTAACTTGACATCAGAGTAAATGCATCTGTTCGAGCCAGAACTCACGTAGTAATATGACAAACTAACCATGAAGATCAAGGAGCTTTCCAAACAAGTCAGGGATAAACTGGTAGAGAAGCACAGATCAGGAGAAGAGTACAAGAAAATTTCAAAATCACTGATTGTCCATTTGAGTACAGTAAAGTCCATCATTAAGAAGTGAGATGTGCTTCATTCAACCTAGTCACTAGCCAGATCAGGCCGCCCTTCAAAACTGAGTAGCCCAGCAAGTAGGAAATTGGTTAGGGATGTCACTGTGAGGCCAACAGTGATTTTGAAAGATTTGCAAAGTTCCTTGTCTGAGATGGGAGTCAGTGTACGTACATTGACTATATCCCATTTCCTACACAGAGTTGGCCTGTATGGGCAAGTGGCAAGAAGGAAGCCATTACTTAAAAAAGTCATTGTACATTTTGTACGGAGTTTGTGAAAAAGCACATAAATGATACTGCAGACACGTGGCAGATGGTTTTGTGATCAGACAAGACAAACATCTCGGGACTGGGAAGCTTGTCAGGATTGAGGAGAAGATGGATGGTGCAAAGTACAGGTGAATCATAGAAGAAAACCTTCTTGAGTCAGCCAAGGATCTAAAACTGGGCTGAAAATTCCCATTTCAGTAGGACAATGACCTGAAGCACAAGGTCAAAACTACACTGAAGTGTTTCAAAAGAAGAAAGGGGATGTCCTGGAGTGACCCAGTCAAAGTCCTGACTTGAATCCAGTGGACAATTTATGGTGAGACTTGAAGATTGCAGTCCATCAATGATCCTCAATGAACTTGTCAGAATTGGAGCAATATTGCCTGGAAGAATGGGCAAAAATTACACCATTCCATTATACAAAGCTGGTAGAGACCTATTCAAAAAGACTTACAGCAGTAATTGTTGCCAAAGGTTCTTCCACCAAGTACTGATGTAGGGGTCTGAATACTTATACAGTCAGCAAAGTTCAATTTATATATTTTATTTGCTGGTTTTGCTGACATTCAACCTCCTTCACACATAACAGTGTCAAGTTTGATAAGCTAACATTCAACCTTTTTCACACATAACAATGTTAAGTTTGATCAGCTGACATTCAACTTTTTTTCACACATAACAGTGGTAAGTTGATCAGCTAACATTCAACCTCCTTCACACATAACAGCGTTAAGTTTGATCAGCTAACGTTCAACCTCCTTCACACATAACAGTGTTAAGTTTGATCAGCTAACATTCAACCTCCTTCACACATAACAGTGTCAAGTTTGATCAGCTAACATTCAACCTTCTTCACACATAACAGTGTTAAGTTTGATCAGCTGACATTCAACTTTTTTCACACATAACAGTGGAAAGTTGATCAGCTAACATTCAACCTTTTTCATACATAACAATGTCATGTTTGATCATTAGAGTTTTGAATAAAAACAAGTTCATTAAAAAAAAATTTTACGTTATTTCTATTTCATCAAAATGTGACATTATTGGTAGGGGTGAATATATTTGCAAGGCACTGTATGCATGAAATTTAAACGACCTTAAAGCCACAGGATTTTTTTTTTAATTTCTTCCTTGTTAACATACTTTTGCATGTGAAATCACAGAATTCACAGTCATGCTCTTTATGAATTACTTTTGTTTTACAGTTTGTTTGTTTCTTTAAAATGTTGCCCTGACTTGACTGAAAGTTGTTAAAGAGTCCATGTGGTGATGTTAATCAGCCAGTAAGTTCCAAACATGCAAATTAAGTGAGTTGTTATTACTTGAAAAGTGACAGTGGTGACAGAAATACTACTTTTGATTTAACTGGAATGATAATTGTACTAATGAAGTTTCTGTTTTTATTGTATAAATGTTCTTATTAAGAATTCTGGCTCTGTAGATGTCAGAATAAGTTTCATGACACCAGACAACCAAGTACAACCTTCAAGGAGCAGGAAAGAATACGTCAACGAAATATGATGAAGTTAAAACGTCAAGACCCGTTCTTCCGAGCAGTAGAAAGAGAAAAACAACGATCTAGGATGAAAGCACGTCGACAGGATCCTGTTTTCCGAGATATGGAGAGAGAACGTCAACGGCAGCGTATGAAGATGAAAAGACAAGATCCTTTGTTTCGGGAAAAAGAAAGAGAACGACAGAAATATCGTATGCAGATAAAAAGACAAGATCCAGTTTTCAAAGAACAAGAAAAGGCTCGAGGTCGTTCTCGATCCCAAACGAAAAGATTAAACTCTTTAACTGAGACAGATTGCCAAAATAGACATAAAAAGGCTTTTGACCCATGTTCTTTGTTCGGTGACTCTTCTTATCAGAAATCAGAAATAAAAAGTCAACTTAAAGAAGAACCAGAAATAACAAGTTCAGAAGAAAATACACAGCAACAAATATACAAGTCTGGATCACCCATAACCACTAGTGACACGAGCTCTGAACTACAATCAATCAGTATGGGTAGCACTGCATGGAATCCTGCATCACAGCCTCAGAACAAAAGTCTCTCTGATAAGATGTCCTTTGGTTACTATAAACCTACTGCCTCTGATTGTTCTAGTGCCTCATCATTTTCTTACTTGCTGAAGACAACAGCATCTGGAAAAACTCTGCCAGACATATCAACCATTACTTTACATTCTTCTATGGCATTTCATACGGAAGTGTTCCGAGGAGACCCCCTTGACAACCAGTCAACAGTGCAACATGTTGCCTCATTGATGAACCCTCTGTTCCAGTCACACATGTCAGCTGCTGGTGATTTTGTAAAGCTGTCGCAACAGAAACCTCCTTCCTCAGGTACAGCTCCTTCTTGTCTAGTTAGTGGAAATAAAGTTCCTTTCTTTATGTGTGAAGGATTGTTGTGGGTTTGATAACAAAAGCATCCTTCATCTGAAAGTTAAAGAATATACTTACATTAAAGAAGATTGTTAGTTCTCAGAACCTCTGAGTGAAATTAAAGAAATTATTTTATAATATATCAACCACACCATATCTGCTCTATCCAATGCTGATGAGGCTTTTTACTCAGTATCAGGTCTTATCAGGCTGGTTGGGATATGACAGACATAGTAATGGTTGAGATGTTATTTACAACTGCACAAACAACAACTGTTATTATATGAACTAGATTAGGTTGGTGTGATCTTTATCAATTTTGTAAGTTAGACTATAGACTGGATTGGTGCTAACTATATTATTTACTTATTTTAACACAATATTTATTATAATTTTATTTTATGTGAATTAGTATATTCATCATTTAGAAGAACTGCTAATATAAAGTTTTGTAAACAATGCTAGTTAAAATTAAATAATAAAAATTATGTTTTCAGTGAGTGGGTAGATCGATCTATGTAAAAAAAATAGACCCAATTAATAACTGACTGTTCTAGAAGACAGTATATGAGTTGAGAGACATTCACGTTGAATATTCTAGATTATCATACAACTTTTCACAGACATTTATTCGGCTATCTAGAAAGACATTTTTTGTTTAGGTAATTACGTTTATAAACATTACAGCTTTGTTAACTTTCTATAATCCTGACAGTTTCAGAAGAATCCTCAGGAGGCTGTGAGAAAACCAATCTGTAGTTTCACCAATAGGGATTAACCTACCAGGTTAAGTTTTATCTTTATAAAAAAAAAACAACCTTTATTTTAAAATATCAATAATAGTTCTCTATTCAATGTTTGATAAAAAATTTAGCTTCAAAATATAAGACAGTGAACTTGTGTTTGTAAACAGTTAGTATGACAGAAGTACACAAAACACTTCATTTAGAATAAGACAACTTCGATGTTCGAAGGGTCTCATCTGTGTTCAGAATAACAAGACTAGCCTGGGAAATATTTTGATCGCTTTTGTTTTTATTTTTCCAGTTGAATATTCACACTTGAGATACCCTATCACAGGATTTTACTGATACAGTTTCAATGTAAAGTGAATTATTCCTCAAATGCTATATATATCAAGAGGGAAGCAAAATATTTCTCTAAGCTTCTGAAAAACAACAACTTCTCTGAGGTAACTAAAAGGAAATGTTAAACCAAGGCTTTTATTTCTTTAGTTGGTAACCTTGTTTTGTTGAGAGTTTATTCACAGGTTACCTATCCACATTGCATCTTCAGTGATATTACTTTCATATTTCATTAGTAATGAAGTACCAGACAGTGTGGTTAACTGTCAAGGTGGTTTGAGTGAAAAGACACTATCATTCCATGTGTAATGAAGCACCAGACAGTGTGGTTAACTGTCAAGGTGTTGGGGTGAAAAAGACTACTATATTCATTAGTATGAGTAAAGA